TAAAGTATACATAAATTTTATAAAACATGAATTAATATAATAGTATTAAGGTATACATAAATTTTATAAAACATGAATTAATATAATAGTATTAAGGTATACATAACAGTCATGAACATTACAAATAAATACAATAAGAATCATGAAAATAAAATATAAAAATTAGTTTTACAAATTTAACTTTTGAGGTTTTTTAATAATCCTATCACTCTTCCTAACCTGTGTGACTTCTGGCTTAACTTCAATAACATCAGACTTAGTATTCTCTACCTCAGTACTAACTTTTCCTCCTTCCTCAATAATACTTTCAATTACTGGTTTATTTTCACTAACTCCTGTTCCAATATCACTCAAATGTTTATAATTATCATTAATATTTTTAATTCTATCAATAATTTGATTAATATGTCTTTTCCACGCTAAAGAATTATTAATTTGAACCAGATAAGTAACAGGTGACAATACTTTAATAATTGTGCCTGGTACCCACATATTACCAGAACCATTAATTTCTGCACATGACACTATCTCCAATCTTATAAGATTTCTCTCTATTGCCTCTAAAAACATGTTTAGCATTTTCCAAACACTTGTTATAATTATTCTTAGCAAAAGGAATTAATCTATCGAACTGAGTTGGCAARATACGCCCAATGTGTAATTCTGCAGGAGTAACCCCTGTAGAACACTGTTTAGTGCTGTTATACGACATAACAAATCTATATACATCAACTTCAATGTCAGAATTAGGGTTACATTTTTTTATAAAAATTTTGAACGTACGAACAAGATTTTCAGCTGCGCCATTTGATGCAGGATTATAAGATGAAGTTTTAATATGAAAAACTCTATTTTTTAGTAAAAAATCTTCCATCTCTTTAGAACATAAAGATGGACCATTATCAGTCACAAGTTTAGCAGGAATGCCCCAATAAGCAAAATATTCTCTTAAAATTTTAATAGTTGAAAAAGTAGTTATATTAGGCATAAATTTCACATACACCCATTTTGAAAAAGCATCTATTATCACAAGAACCATTCTTTTATTAACAGGACCTAAAAAATCCAAATGAACCCTAATAGATGGACCATCAGGCCAAGGCCAACTATGGAGAACTGCCTTTGGAGGATTCTCACTATGAATCAAACAAAGTTCACATCTTTTTGTAATACCTTCAATATCTATATCAATTCCAGGCCACCAAATAAAAGAACGAGCGACACTTTTCATTTTAACAGTACCTAAGTGAGTGCTGTGTAATTCAGTCCGAAATTTAGACGGTATTACTAAACGATGTCCCCAAAATAATAATCCTTGTTCAATTGAAAATTGATCCTTACGGTTAAAATATGGTTTTAAAAAAAGAACCTGTTTTCCAGCTGCACTTTTAATACGGTGAGTTAAATGATGCAAAACGCTGTAGAACACAGGTCCCCTGTCAGGCAGGGAGGTGGCGATCGCGCGCAAGGACAAGTCGGGGACGCACCCATACAGTTTACTCCTCTAACCGAGGACGACTTAATCGTATCGTATAGCTTAGCTTATAGACATAATCCAGATAGTACTATAGAGACTTTATATAAAGGAAGAAGACTGATAATTAATCAATACTTAGGTATCTCTCAGAACAAAATTTATACGCATTCAATTGAACAACGCTCGAAAGTTAATGATAATGAAATGGAATCTTGGTATAAAGTGAGTGTATTCGGTAACCACGGTATTGACGTAGACGTAGTAAAAAATAATATGGTTTTAATTCTTCAGATAMCTTTTTAATATCAGTAGGCCACTGACCAGTGAAAACACTAAAAAAAACTTGTTTAATAATAGTATCTTTTTTAATTTCATTACAAATATCTAAATCAGAAATTGTTTTAATATTTTCAGTAATTAAATTGATAGAGTAATTATCTGATTCTGAAGTATTAGAACTCACAGTAATATCTAAAGGAAGTCTTGACAATGCATCAGCATTACCATTATTTATACCTTTTACAAATTGTATTTCATAATTATAGCCAGATAAGAATATTGCATACCGCTGTAACCGATTTGCTATCATGACAGGAATACCTTTTTTAGGACCAAAAATAATGTGATAATAATAAAATAATAATAAAATGCTTATGATCTGTTCTCAGAATAAATTCACGACCATATACATATTGATGAAAATACTTAACTGAATAAACTATAGCAAGAGCTTCTTTATCTATTTGTGCATAAGCACGTTCGGCATTATTTAATGTCCGGGAAGTAAAGGCAATAGGCTTTTCTGAACYATCTGGTAATTTATGGGATAATACAGCCCCAATACCAGTAGGACTAGCATCACAAGCTATAATGATAGGCCATTTTGGATTATAGTGAATTAATATTTCCTTAGACAAAATAGCACTTTTAATTTCATTGAATGCTTTATTTTGGTCTTTACCCCATACAAAAGGTATATCTTTCTTAAGCAACTTATACAAAGGATTTGCTTTGGTTGACATATTTCTATTGAACTTACCATAATAAGTTACTAATCCTAAAAATGCTTTTAGTTGAGTAACACTACCAGGTATAGGTACTGATGTAATAGCTTTAACTCTAGCCTCAGGAACATGTAAACCATCTTTATCTATTTTATAACCCAAAAAAGTAACACTATCCTGGAACAATTTACATTTATCTTTCCTCACTGTTAATCCTACTGAACATAATCTTTCTAACACTTCTCTAAGTCTTTTAGTAACTTCTTCTTTAGATTTACCAGATATTATAATATCGTCATAAAAAGCAACTGTACCCTCAATATTTCTCAAAATATTTTCCATTTCACGCTGCAAGATACCAGGAGCTGAAGCTATACCATATGGTATACGTTTAAATACAAAAAGTCCTTTATGTGTAGATAAAGTTGTTAACTTTTGTGATTCCTCATCTAATGAAAGCTGTTGATAAGCCTGACAYAAATCAAGAACACAAAATTTGGATGCACCCTGCAAAATTGCCATTAAATCTCCTACTCTGGGTATAGGATATCTGTCTATTTTAATAAATTTATTAAGTGTAACCTTGTAATCGCCACATAATCGAATCTTACCATCACTTTTTAAAACAGGCACAACTGGTGTAGCCCACTCTGAAGACTCTATTGGAATTAATAACTTTTCACTGACTAATCTATCAATTTCCAAACTCACTTTATCTTTCAATGCAAAAGGTAACACACGAGGCTTACAGAAAATAGGTTTAATGTTTTCATCTTTCAAAAATAATTTAAACACTTTAGGTTTATAACATCCAAGTACATCTCCAAACACTGAAGGAAAATCTTCAAAAATATTTATTTCTGTTTTTGATGAAAGTGAGTAAACTTCCCCTTTAATAGGTAATGATAAATTCTCAATCCAATCTCTACCRACAATAGGAGGACCACCTTCTTTAATTATATACAAATTCAACACTTCAATTTTTTTATGAAATTTCACACTCACTTTTAAATAACCCATTGGAATAATTAATGTACCAGTATAACCTTTTAAACTTATATCACTTTTTTGAATATCTTTCAATTTAAGATTCACTCTACATGCATCACTATAAGACAAAGCTGTAATTGAAGACCCGGTGTCAATTTGAAAATTAATAATAATTCCACTTACATCTAACTTAATATTAAATGGTTTAATAAAATTTACATCAACAGTCTCTRATGAAAACAATTTATCAATATGCAAATCTTCAAAATCATTTAAAATATTAGACTCTTCTAGTATATTAACATTACCAGCTTTACTTTTAGCTTTACAAACTTTTATTAAATGACCTACTTTAGAACATTTAGTACATGTTAAATGCTTATACTTACAAAATGGTTTTGTATGACCTGCTTTAACAAACAGTTTTACGGCCATAACTTGAATTGTTCGAAGAATCCTTTTGATTATTGGATATTGAATCTGATCTGTGTGCTTTCCTTGACTTCACTTGTCCCCATGGTTGTCTGGTTTGCTTAAACTTCATTCCTCGCTGATAATTCAATTCTTGTTTTTCCCAATGAGACACATCATTGTTCGCTGCTTCCATTGACAAACAAAGTGTAACACTTTTTTTAAACGTTAACTCAGGTTCAGACATTAAACGTTTTTTAATGTTGTTATCCCTGATACCGTAAACAACTTAATCTCTCAATGAATCATCTAAATTAGTACCAAATTCGCAATACTGTGAACACTTTTTTAATGCGGTCACAAATTGACTTATTGTTTCTTCTGAACCTTGTTTCCTCTCCTTAAACTTGTAACGTTCAGTTAGAACATTAGGTTTAGGATTAATATAATTAGATAGCATTTCTTTTAGTGTGTCGTAACTTTTATCTACTGGCTTATATGGAGTACAAAGATCTCTGACTAATACATAACCGTCATTGCCCAAAAGTGTTAAGAACATTAATTTCTTTTTGTGTGAATTAATTTCATTTAATAATACATACAATTCAAAACGCTCAATCYACGAACTGAAGTCGTCGACTTTCAAATTAAATTCGGAAATGGTGCCATTAATTTGCCCTTTGCTAATGTTACCATTACCACTACCGCAACCATAGAAGCCTGCGTAGTTGCACTTTGATTGTTTGAGCGACTCATTATAACACTTTTTATTTTAAAACACTAAGCGTTTTAAATTAATATTACGCACTTAAAACAAATTACATTAAAATCAAATTTCATTTCGACACGTGGTTTTTTCAATTTACCTCGTCGCCACTGTTATATCTGTATAGAAGCATTAAGCACACAACTTGAACGCATGAATGCAAAACAACGAATGACTTTATTATTTAACATTAATTTTAAATTTAATACAAAATATATATCCTGGAAGAAATAACTATTTCCAAAGATATTACAAGATACCTACTTAGTAGTATGGTGGTTAGTGCAACAGACAACAGTTGACTGATTCACTTAAAAGTCAGACATCAAACCGATCAGAGTTCAGACCATATTATCATTTATTTTTAACTTTTAAGCAACATATAGGATATTAAGATATTACCTTATTATGTAATTAAATACAATTTGTATTATAGCCTATAGGACATAAATACAGATTGTATAGGTGACGTTGATTTTTGCTTATAGAATWTAGGTTAATAAATAATACATAATAATATATTGATGTTAATTATATTCAGTGTGTGGTCACATGATTACGTGGTACGCTAGTATGAGCGAAGGTGAAAGGCGAAGGCTGGTCACCTTTTTTAATTATTATTTTTAATAATTTGTATCTCGTAAATAAGTAGGCATAAATGCATAATTATCATTATTATAAAAACGCTATTTTGTTATTATTTATTTTTACAATCAAAAACAATTTGTAGTCTGTACCACTAATTACAACAAGAACATTGGCTAAATGTAACAAATTTAAATAGTTTACATATTTTAAAGAAAGAAGCCACCCTCTGATGATGACTCTTCCTAGTTAATCATGAGTCATGACAATGCATTTTTTTTAAATCATAAAAACGTAAATAATAGCTCTTAAAAAAGTTAAAGTTAAAGTTAAATTCTCATAAGAGTATAAATAAAATTATGAATATCTCCTTAAAGGTAAGCTTTGGTGGATAACAAATTAATTAAGCCAAATATAATACTATTTTATTTAAATTATCCATTAAATAATAAGATACTATTTACGAAGTTCACATAATGACTATAAAATTGCTATTAATCCGTTACTTTGCTTTTTTTATAYCATAGAACAGTATGTAAAGTATGGAACAATAAAATATTGAAAATAAATATTCTTATGCGCAGATTTGATTGAATTTTTTGGGGGAATTACATTTTTCTTTACAAAATAAGAAGTGGAAARGGACATTGAAAAATGATTGATTATTTTTAATATAATTTAAATTCAATTCATAAATTTTTTATTTATTTTCTCTTTATGAGGGATAAGTCCTCCAAACATCGCCTAAGTAAAATATTGAAAATACTAACTTAACAAAACAATTTATTTTATCTACATTTTAACTATAAAATATAAATAATCAATTAATCTGATTAATTAATGAATATATATGATTAATTTAATCATATATTCATATAATACCTGTAAACCAATCAACTTTCAATATTTCAAACCT